CTTGAACAGTGCTCCGTGGGATGTTCGAGGCTTGGGAAATCTTTTTGTAGCCTAAGCCTGCTTTAAATTTCTCAATAACTTTATGCCTGACCTGTCTGGTGTGTTCTTTGGACTTCATGGTGTTGTTGCTCCCAATATTCTCTTAGACAACCTCTGAGGCCGTCACAGAGCAGCTGTATTTGTACTGACATTAGATTACACACAGGTGCACTCTATTTAGTCATTAGCATTCATCAGGCAATGTCTATGGGCAACTGACTGCACTTAGACCAAAGGGGGCTGAATAATTACGCACACCCCACTTTTCAGTTATTTATTTGTAAAAAAATGTTTGGAATCATGTATGATTTTCGTTCCACTTCTCATATATACACCACTTTGTATTGGTCTTTCCCGTGATTGATTCATGTTTGTGGCTGTAATGTGACAAAATGTGGGAAAGTTTAAGGGGGCTGAATACTTTTGCAAGCCACTGTATAACAGCTGACCTACTGGATGTGATGAAGAACCCATTATTACATGTAAATGCACATACTTACAAAACTGTGATCCTCCAGAAATTGCTTAAATTTTATGGAATTTTTAAGGTTGAGCCCAGTTTAAGCAACAAGGACGTAGATCTATGTTTGTAGAGCTGTCAATAAAGTAACTCTCAGCAGCATCAATATAAGACATGCTCCCTGCCCCGAAAGTTTTAATAAATGTTGTCCCTATGAGGGACCTTATTCTCATCAGAATTGTGAGTGAAAGTCAGGCGACTTTTGAGATTAGTTGAAAGACAACAAAAACAAGAAACCCTTTACATTATGGAACTATTGGCAAGAGATATATTTGACCGATCACAGCCAGGTGCTGAAACAACAGCCAAGGAAGAGCAGCACCGGCTGTTTGCTTGCATCGTATTGCTCAGAGTCCAGTGTAATGCTCTCCAAAGCTGCACTAAAGACAAGCATGCCACCCATACTAAAGTGCTGCTAGACCAGACAATGGAGGGCCTCAGCGTTCCAAAGAGCATAGATGTGTCAAAAAAGCAATGAAAGTTTCAGCAATGAAACTGAATTTAAAAGAAAACTTAGTTGACATTCTGTTGCGTTGGCAACCACCAAGATTCCACTGCCAACAGACATTCAGTAATACTCATTGCATAGTGTTAATAAATATCTTTCACTAAACATGAAAGTTTTCCAAATGTCCTAGTTTACGTGATTAAAAGAAGTTATTATGTGTGAGAATCTCTCAAATGTCAAATACTTTTCCACTAAACAGTCGTCTTCTACATTGGTTAGGTTTTTTTTAAAACAAACATTTATTAAAACTTATAGTTTGCTTTGGAGGCTGAATTGGAGGACCAGTGTAGGAACCAAAATGAGCAGATAGAGATGCTCCAGAAACAGGTCCTAGCATGTCAAAATCAACTCCAAGAACAGGCAGTAGAAAAACATAGCCAGGACCAGGAGACACTCAAAATGGAAATCAGACACCTGAAATCCCAGCTCTGCTCCAACAAGACCATTCTTCAGGAGCCTCTGGAAGAAAAAGAGACCAGAGAACAAGAACAGGAAGAAAAAGAGGACTCCCTGCCACAGACCTCATGTCTCTTCAGGAGCCTGCGGGAGAAAAGGACACCAGAGGTTAAGAGCCCACCAGAGGTAAAACCACAGAAAAAGAAGAAGCAGAACTGGTGTGAGTAATCACATCTTGACCACTTCTTTGCACCATATTTACCTCTAGACCTTTCACACATTTGCGTTAGTTCTCCTTAACTGTAGACCTTATTTGCTCACACTAACCATTCTTTTCTCTACACATACGACCACATTTCTTGGTGAGGAGGAGCCCTGCAAGACCTGGAACAATAGTACGTTATAATTATAAAAGAAAGAATACTAGGTAAGGGAGTCATCTTCCTTACAATACAGCTAAATTGTCAGTGAACATTTAAACGCCACCTGGTCGCGACAGATGGCCACCCCTTCCTGGGCCCGGTTCTGTTGGAGGTTTCCCCCCATTAAAGGGGGTTTTTTTCTCCCCGCTGTCGCCAAGTGCAACATAGGGGATTTGGGAGCTTTTTGCAAAACGTTCACTGGCATCTCGCAAATATGTTTTAAATGGATGATTCCTCATCCTTTTGATTAATGGCTTATGACTACTGGTGTTTTGGTTTCTGTTGTGTGTTTCCTAGCTTGTGTATTCCTTTGCCCCTCATGTCACTCTGGTCCCTGTACTCTGTGTTCCCGACTTTCTTTCAGTCTGTGGATTTCCTGTTTTATTTTGAAGTTTTATGTCTTATGTCGGTGTTCTAGTTTCGCTTCCTCTGTCTCGTTAGGTCTAATTTCTCCCGGCTGCATTCCCACCTGTTCCTCGTTCCCTTATGTGTATTTATAGTGTGTGTCCTCCAACGTTCAGCGTCGTGTCGTACCCGCAACTTGCTGTGTTTTTCATCCGTGCTGCCAGAGTTTATGCCACAGTGCAATAAAGCTGCCTCTTTTAGTTCACTGTGGGCCCTCTTGTCCTGCCTGCACACAGCACACCATGACACAGAGTAACATCTGATTTAAAAGCAGGGAGCAAAGGACACTGAGATGTCCAGATGGTTTCTGACTCTCAGTGTTCTAATCAGCCTCTTAGCATTGACATGTATTATTTGTTTCATATGATTTCTCTTAGAGGATGTAAGCTACATAGGTGCATATTCAATTCAATTCTATTTTATTTATTTAACGCCAAATCACAACAGCCGCTACATCAAGGTGCTTCATATTGTAAGTAAAGACACTAGAATAATACAGAGGCACCCCGACAATCAAACAACTCCCGATGAACAAGCGTTTGGTGACAGTAGTAAGGAAACACTCTTTTCACTGAAAGAAACTTCCCACAGAACCAGACTCAAAAAGGGACAGCCATCAGAGGTGCAGCCACATGTAACTTAATGAACAATGCCTTATTAAGAATGATGCAGACAGATTTTTAGTATTGATATATGGAAAAAACAAACAAACCCCAAAGAACCCCCAAAAAGAGTCTCCTGAAAAAAACAACAACTTTTGACTTAATAAGCTAAAATGTCATCATTTGGTTTCAACACATAAATATTACTTTACTATTTGTATAGTTGTTGTTTTTTTTTAAAAAAATTAGCAGGTTTCTTTTATTTTATGGACATCAGCTATGCCATCAACCAACTGAGATACCTGCCATAAAATGAAACTGCTTCTATAGACAGTTTGTTTCAGCCACGAATACTGTGAAAACATTTTTTACAATACAGCGTTAAATTTGCAGTTAATGAGGGACTGTTGAAATACATGCTTTTTCTTATTTTAGTGTTACTGCCTTCACAGAAGTGGAGAGAGACGGAAACATACCAGTGTTTACAGGAAATAAGCTCTGCAACGGAGCTGAAGAAGAGTCCAGCTTATTGTTCTTACAGTACAATATTAATGATAAAAGTACATTAATG